AACTTTGGATTTTTGTGGTCTCTCGAGCAAACAATTCGGTTCGGCTCTCGCCTCCTTGGCGGAAGTTATGGGTCGTGTGAGATTGATTCAGTATTACGAAAATGATGATGAGGAACCGACCTATTCGTTTCAAAAGGCGAATAACGTGGCTTTATCACATCTCAAACGTCTTTCGCTTCATGAATGTCCTACCATCTCGGAATTTTCCACCATTCTCACCCTTCTCGCCCACGCTCCAAACCTCACTCACCTTGATTTGGGTGGTTGTTCTATTAGTGATATGACCCTTAACTTCCTTGCCACGGGGACCAACGTCTCACGAACTTTAACCCATCTGTTGCTCGCCAGATGTAAAAACATTTCTTCCGAAGCTATCGCTACCTTGATAAGTCAATGTGGAAATTTAAAAGTTCTCAACCTTTATGGTGACAGGGATATCGCCACCGCTATTAGCGAATATGATCTTATTACCATTTTGAGTTCCCCATCCGCAAAACAATTTCAAACGTTGGACATTGGTTCATCTCACATCACCCCACGAGTTTTATATGCCATACAAGAAAATTGCACTTTTAATTTACAACATCTTGGTATCGCAAAAGCTCAGATCCCATCTACTTCTCATCTGAATCAATTTCTTAACGCGATGCCAAACATACAGTACATTGATCTTACCGCCGCAACGTGCTTGACTCCGATCAACATGAGTTGCCTTTTGAATAATTTACAAAAAGATCATTCCCTTCATACCGTCGAGATGAGCGAACCTTTACTCAAAAAACTTGGTGCCACCAAAGGATGGAAGATCAATGAAAATTTTAGTAGAAGGTGTTATTACACCAAATTATCATCTGGAGGAAGAAAGGTTCATCCAAGAAAGTTGGATGTGGCCGAATCCGGTTCGGACAGAATGAGCAAAATTTTCAAATATTATAGTTTTGACGTGTGAATAATAAATCATACAACTTTATTTTATAATGTAAAAAAAAAAAAAAAAAAAAAAAAAAAAGATTCAAAGCGTCAACAAAATGGGTATGAAGTCCGGTCGAAATGAGGAGGATCAAAAAAATAAGAAAATTTAAGGACGAGTGTTCCAGTTTTCCACCTTTTAAATGGTGATGTAACTGAGGTTAATGCAAGTCTTGGAGACGACGCGAATCGTAATTTTATATTATTATTAATTTACATAATTCAAATCTTTAGAACTTTTAATTATTATAATCTCTTAATTTAGTATTTCATTGTAAAAAAAAAAATAATCGGAACATGTATATATTTTTCCACAATTTAATTATCAATACTTTTCAAAAAAGTTAGTCTGAATTTTTTAATTTCTTCGCTTAATATAAAATAATGTAATATTTCAACAATTTTTCGATCAATAAAAACATAAAAGGTTTAAAATTAATTTAGGAATTCATTATTTTGGTGTGGCTAATTTTATTCCAAATGGCAAATGGACCCGTAATCTTACGGTTACATTTCGACTTTTCAAATGATAACAAAGACCAAGTGAATTCATGATGTTTCTATCAAATAATTCCAGTAAATCACCGAGATAAATTGTTTGATAACGTCTTGTAGATGTCGTACGTTTAAAAATTTGACCAATTATCAGTATTGATTGGCTCAAAAAAAATTTTTTAGAAATTTCAGGGAAAACATCACTAACCAATACTTGTAATTTGATCGACAATCGGGTCACAAGAAATCAGGTCATTTAAGGTCATTTTGAAATTCATGACGCAATAACACTAAAAACGAACCCTTTAAAAAGACTCTAGCTCTCCTCTTCCCCTTTCAGATCCAGAAATTCAAATTGCTTTAATAAAATGACTCTTAATACACCATTATCATCAACGAGAGATCGATTACCTCTAAAATCTCACCGTAGAACTAGCATAGCTGCGGTTCCGCAGGCAGTTTATCTCGGTTTAGAATTAGATTACAAATTCTGTAATGGTGAAAGGGCCAATTATGCTATTTGTACTCATGATGGCAGTTACGCTATTGACTATGAATTATCGTCAGTTGATGTATCCGATCACTTTGATCCCGATAAACCCATGGATCGTAAACGCGTCGCGAAAGTTATTCAAATAATCCTTGATAATATCACATTATATGCCACTTCGCAAAATTATAAAATACAAGCAATTGGACTTGGCGCTCATTTAGAGAATGGCGAAGATTTACGTAAACTTTTATTTTCCTCTCCTAGCCTGGCTTCTCGTATTTGGTTAGAGTTCGATGCTTTGCCATTTATCATTAAAACAAAGGGTAAAACTGTTGATGAACGTGCTAGTTCAGCTGTAAGAAAGGCAGTAGTGTGGTAACTTTTTTCTTGATATAGTTTTCTACTAATTAATTGAATTATCGGGAATCATATTAATCCTCATTTTATTTTACAGGATGAGTCCACAAGCTCCTGGATCGATTCCAAGGATATCTGTTGGATTCAGACATGAAGTTGAAGTTGATCTAAACGGAATGATTAAATTGGTGGATTTGGTGCATTACGAAAAAACCGTACACCCGGCAACCTGGAAAGTACTTCTAAGTATCGCTGAAGAAATTAAAGGAAGGAAAATAAAGGCATCATTCTTCAATGCAACGCCTCAAGGTGGTGGAGGTAATTGACAAATCCCGATCCTTTTCCTCTGGTGATCACACTTTTTTTAATGATCGCAAAGATAAATTGAAATCTTTTTGATCGTTACAGTTGCTCTTATGCGTCACGCGCTTATCCGTCTATGTAACCTTTTGGGCCTCGATATTCATTGGTTTGTCACTAAGCCGAAACCTGACATTTTTGATATAACAAAAAGAAAGTTCCATAATGTATTACAGGTAAGTCAACCTTCTAGTGATGGTTTAGTGGGAACTGTCAATGAAATTCACTGAAATGATAATCTTTGATTAGGGTGTTGCAGCTCCAGACGTTCGTCTAACTGAACAAGACAAAGAAATGTTCATTTCCTGGTCGAATGATAATGCCGAGCGTTTCTGGGATGATGACGAAGGCCCAATTAAAACCAGTGATGTGATAATCATTGATGATCCACAAGGTAACGAGCAATCAAGAAATGCGGCACATCATCTCGTTATGATATTAACTTTACTTTTCATTCTTAATTCAAAAAGTTTGTGGTATCATTCCATATATCAAGAAACTCAATCCGACCTGCAAGATCATTTATAGAAGTCATATCGAAAGTAAGCTTTATTATTATGCCGCCAATTTAATTAAGACAACACACACACTCACACACACTCTCTCTAGTTTGTGCTGATTTAATCCGGCAGGATCCAACGGGGCCACAAGCTGACACGTGGAATTTTCTTTGGGAATTTATTTCTCACGCTGATCTGTTTGTTTCTCACCCTATGCCCAATTTTGTTCCGGACAATGTCCCTAATGAAAAGGTGGTTCTCCTTCCTGCTTGTACAGATCCATTAGATGGTTTAAACAAAGATCTAAGACATGTTGATTTATCTTATTACAAATTGGTTTACAATCGATTGTCATTAGATCAATGTGGTGTTAAAATTGATTTTCAACGACCTTACATTGTTCAAGTAGCTAGGTTCGATCCAAGTAAAGGTAAGCAATTTCCTATTCCTGGTATTATATCAAAGGACAAAGTGTTTATTTTATCTTATTATGTAGGTATCCCTCTGTTGATTCATTCCTTTAAGATCTTCCGTGATAAGCTTAAAGAAGCCGGTTGGACTCCAGAAAGGATGCCTTCTCTAGTAATTTGTGGCGCTGGCAGTATTGACGACCCGGATGGCACTCCAATTTACGAACAAACTCATACATTATTGTTGCAACCTGAATACGAAGATATCGAAAGCGACGTTTCAGTAGTGCGTCTCCCCCCATGTGATCAGATCTTCAATGCTATCCTGAGGTGTGCTCATGTAGCATTACAATTAAGTACAAGGGAAGGATTCGAGGTTAAGGTTACAGAGGCTTTAGCGAAAGGAGTTCCCGTCGTAGCATTCAAAGCGGGTATGATCAATTTTTATAGCACTACTTTTTTTGTTTGAATTTTTCATCTTAATTCATACGCAAGTATCATTAGGAGGGATACCGCTTCAGATTAGACATGGGGAGACGGGGTTCTTGGCAGATATTGGTAATACCGAGCAAGTTGCGGATTATTTGTTTACCTTGTTTGATGATCAAGAACTATATCAAAGGATGTCACGGAGAGCAAAGGAGACTTTAAACGAACAATACTTCACAGTCTTTCAGACTCTTAATTGGTTATATTTGATTAACCGATTTGCTAAAGAAAGACGTAGAGAGAAGGGTGAGGACGTTGAAATCGATGAAAGTGTCCCTTGCGGTGGCTCAAAATGGGTCAAAGATATTTGGGCAGAAGAATATAATTATAAAGAAACAATGAGACAATTTGGGGCTTCGGAGATTGATGGAATGGTAATTATTCAAATTTATTTATTTTTTTTTTTTTTTTAAAAAAAAAAAAAAAAAAAATACCTTACATTTTACTAAAAAAAAAATTTTTTTTTTTTCTTCCTAGAGTCTTGATGAGATGGTTTCTCACCCTATAGACAGTATCAGTAACAGAGCATAGAAAATTTATTTATTTTGTGTAATATTTATTATGTATCATTATCGTGTTTGCATATCTAATTTATTTTTTTATTTATTAATCCCTTCTCTTTAATGATTTCAATTTCTTTTTAATGTCATTTAATTGTCATCTGAATAAATATATATAAATATATATATATAACAGTCATTTTTTTGATATGTCGTAATATAAATAAATCAAAACAATCATACAAATCATACAAACATGCAAACTGTTACGAGTTTTTCACTTGACAAAATTCTTATCACGTGGTTTTAATTTGTGGTTTTTTTTTTATTTTCAAAGATCTTTCAAAATCTCATGTCCCTACTTTCAATTTATAAATTCTACAAACGTCTGGTTTTCAATTGTGAAAACGGTGCAAAAAAAAAAATCATGTCAGTAAATAACCTCAACACCGTTCATGAACAAGTCGACATTGACGTTGACATTGATGATTCCGCTCCTCACGAACATGCTACACCGGATTCAATGGTCACCACCTCAAGTTACGGAGGTATTGATGAGCACATTACACAAGAAACCGAGGCTTCCTTCAAAACGTCCAAGCGTGCAACCGGAAAGAAACGTCGCAGGTCTCCGGATTTGGAACTTTTGGAAGAAAATTTGGCGCAAGGTATCACCACTTCAGAGACCTCGGAGCCTAACCCGAAAAAGAGGGTGCTGCCACCTCGTAAGGTTGGAACACTCGCAAGTGTACTCGCGGACGAAGTTGCAGCGGATCAAGGTACGTTTTAATATTAAAAAAGAACCATTTTCATTCATGATATTCATTTCATTTTGTTTTTTTTAGCTGCGATGTTGGCGCCTGCTATTTCAGGCGAAACCACGATTTTGTTAACATCCGATGAAAGTCTCCTAGAGACTTGTGATTTCGTTGAGGATGATGAGGTTGGTACAGACGAAGATCTAATTAAGGCTAGCAATGATGATAAGGAAATTCCTGTACCATCATTTAGGGTTGTTAATGAGGATATTGGAAGTGGGTTACGGAGTAAAGCCCAAGAGGTTTATAAAGAAATTTTTAATGTATCTTTGATCTCATGACTTTCATACGTAAAGCAAACGATTTAAAATTTCTCTGGTTTTTTTTTTTTTTTTCTCTTTTTCCTTTTTTTTTTAAAAAAAATATACATATATATATATGTATATATAAATTTAAAAAAAAAACGATAAAATATAGGAAGATATATCCGATGTGTCATATGAAAAGCGCCATCGCAAGCATGAGCTTGCCGAAAAGAAGCTAAGGAATCGTGAACGGGAGAAGTTGGCATACGAAAGGTACCAACAGCAATTGGCCGTCGAGAAATTACGCAACACCGATTCAAAAAGTCTAATATCAATCGCTGCTCTGCGAAATAAAGATGCAACGAATGATGCGAGCAAGTTACAGATAGCGCATCAAAAGTTGTTAAAAGAAGCCGAGGACACATTGGCCATATATGATTCATTCGGATTAGGTGGTAAAAAACGAAAGATAGATGCATTAGTCAATGAAGGAGAGGTCAAGGTGTCCGAGGAACCGGATGCGAAAAAGACGCGACTTCGAGGTTCGAAAAGTACCGCCAGTTCAAATTTGGATGATGTCGCATCCAAACCTAAGGAAGAGACAACGCGAATCACCCGAAGTCGAAAGAAGAATGATGAGCTTGCTTCATCTGCGGTCACAAAAAAACTTGCCAAAGCGCCACTGAAAGGAAAGAAGGGTCAAAACATCGCGCCTTCTTCAACTACAACGGCGTTAACGGTGATCCAACCGCCCCCAACGGGCGAGCGTGTAACAAGTTTCGTCAGGCCATATACGGGTATGGCATCAGGTTCACGCAAGAGTTCACGATCTGCTTTTGCATTTGGTGAACGAGTTCCCAGCAGACATATGACCAAAAAAGATTTCATCTTGCCGGTTACAATGTTTGGGGAAATAATGAATCAACGCGAACAATTAAGAACGCTGGAGGAGCAAGAACAACTTCGCCAATCAGAAGAATATAAAATGCCTTCTGAAGGTAGTGGTGCCTAATAGACATCACAACGGCTCAATGACTGAATAAGTTGGACAGTTGTAAATTGCTTTGAAAAAAAAAGCAAAAAAAAAAAGACTATTTTCACCCTTCCCTTTTTCCCCCTTTTTCTCAAAAGGAATTTTTTTGTAATACATTTATTTGTAATAAGTTAAGTTTTAGTAATTTCTAATAAAAATACGCTCTGCAAAGACGTAGCATAAGCCACATCATTGTCCGTCGATTCCATATCATCTTCATCGTCATCATCATTCAAATTGATATATTTATCATAATTAAAATTGAACAAAGCAAGTGGAATTTGATTACATTTAAGTTTCCATTTATCCAAGAGATATTGAATGGATCTTTTAGAGCTGTTTGAAGGAGAAAACATCATAAGAAGGGATATGTATCATAGATAAGATAATTAATAAGTTACGTTACCTTCTTTCTTGATACGATGTAATGAACTTTGCATTTGGAGAATGATACGTTAATATGTAAGCGACGGTTACGAGGAGGTCTTCAAAATCTAAATAACCATTGGTTAAGTTAGTTGATTTTAAGTGAGCAAGAACCCGGAATTGAATTTATCAAGTACCTTTTGGATCGTAAAAAGTATCACTACCCAAAATCCAATCAACCTTTCGGTTAGATTGATCGACATCGGTTAACAATTGAAATAACCCATCACCAAAATCGCCCCACATCAACCCCCTTATCCAAATATTATTCCTAGTTGTTAAGTTATTTAACCTTACAGTGTCTCGCATATTTTCAAGTACTTGAGGGGCATCTGGTCTATCTGTTAAGATTACGTGAGTGTCATTGGAAATTAATGCGCACAAAAATCCCGGCAATGAAGTTCCTGATCCTAACTATGATAATAAACCGTTCCTTATAAATAAATGAGGAATTTTCGTATGCGTATGACCTTAACGAGGATATCCTTACTTCCAAGATCGTTTTATCTTTAAATAAGTCCCTCTTGTACCAAATATATTCGGCTAATACAAATGCTGATGGCCATATGTAACATCCATATGATGGTTCAAGTAATTCTTTTATTATTACGGATTGTTCTTCCCTTGACCTTTCATTTGAATTCTCTTCATCACAAAAATGAAATACTTTGGTAGGATTCATTTCTTTTTGCTACGCCGCCACATCGGTCGTCGATCATTTTTTGTCAATCATTTTAGTGTCATCCTATTTGTCGATGTCATTTATGTCGTCTGTCTTACTCAAAGAAACAGAACAAACTTATGATACATCTTTCAAAGGCAATTAACTAAATAAGGTAATGAAACAAATTGTCACTAAAGAATTTATTTTATTCTAAATATACTAAATCCAATGAAATGGCCTTATTAATTTAAATTACTATTGTAAGTCAATAATTAACAGTTAATGAGCTCGAGCAGAAACTCGAACCATACATACAGTAGTTGATGCAGAAAGTCAACTTGGTGAATTACTCTAATGATGTTTTAAACATGAAAAATCTTTATGATCTTATTAAATTCTCAAATGTTATACATAGACAAAGAATGTAGGAAGGGAAAACTACATTTGCAAGATGAATTTCAAATGATTTCTCAGATGCTGGTCGATCTTTTCGGATTTCATGTGATTTTATGAGTTTGAAATAGTTCAGACATTATTTGGAAGAAGATTTGCTTTAAAATATCATCTGAAAGGGCTTTAAAATATTATTTGAAAGGGTAAGTCTTTTATAATCTTTTTGCAATATTGACAATACATTTATACTTATTTGATTATTTCTAGGATTATGTAAAGTTATAGGAAATGATTTGATCTCTCTTTATGAAATTTTAAAAACAATCTTAAATTAACAAACAAGTAAAAGAAAATTTGTATTATGTCCTTCTTCATTATTAATATAGATAATATAAATGTATTTGACAAATCAGATAAGCTAAAATTTTAAAAAAGTTTTTTTACAGATTTTAGTTCTAATTCAAATCATTATTATTTCTTTTAGAATAAGATCATTAATTATATATTTTATGAAACTTAAAAACTATTAGTATTTGATTTATTTTATTAAAATCAGAAAAATTTTCATCAAATTTAAAACATATATAGCAATCAACCTTTCTGATGTTGGTTATTATTTAGAAATTCTGAAGAAAATAAAAATATATTAGAAATAAAGTTTTATTATTAAGATACTATTATTTTTTTAGAAAAATTGTCAAGATGATGATCTTTTTTAAAAAAGTGAAAAATAAATTAAGTAGAATTTATTTATATTATTAAATTATATACACTTTATATAATAATATTAAAATCATTCTTAGTTAGTTATATATATATATTATTTAAGTGAAAATTAGTTATAGAAATTATTTTTTTTAATTTTTACATAAATATTTCTTTACCTTTGATTAAAGGATTTTAAATAAAAACTTTTTCAGATAAACATAAGTTTTAAGCTAAACTTAACTATTGTTTAATGGTTAAGTATTAAAATCTGTTTAATTAACAATTAAATAATAGTGTATTTAAAGATCTTAAAATAGTTAATTTAGAGCAAAGAAAGGCTTACTTTTTTTTTAACTTGTACATATTTTCATACTTTATTAAATAGATATTATTATTAGGTTACATACCAAAAAATAGAATAGTTGTTAGACTTAGTTTTATACTTTTTTGGATTTTTTTTCAAATTTCAATTAAACTTTTTCTTCATTAATAGAACTACTTATCTCTACTTTTCTTTTATATTTATTATCAAAAATAAAGTGATACCATTTAAAATATTTAGAATAATCTTAATATATTTTTTTAACTATTTATTTTAATTGTAGAAATATATAATCTGCTTTTTATTTTTATTAAAAATTATTTATACTATATTATATTTATTTGTTATTGGATTTTTTATTACTTTAATTAAGATATTTAAATCATCAACTTCTGATTTAGCAAATGTCAATTTAAAATAATTTTAAAAAAGAATTTAGATTAAATTTTATATGTTCAGCAATTATAAATGAATGTTATTTTATTATGATAGCCTATTATTACACATCATGTTAAATAAGCTATCATTAATTTTACCTAAAATAATTATCAGCATAGATAATTGAATATTTTCCTTTAACCATATAAAAGAAAATAATTATGCACTAATAAAATAATCATATCAGCTCTTTTTTCAAATATTTTACCCTCTTTAATAAGATAGTTTAACTGAAAATAATTAATAATTAAAAGATATTTAAATTGAAATTAAAATTTGTAATAAAATAATTTTTAATTATAACTTACTTGATAAGAAAATATATCATTACATATTCTAAAAATATAAACTTTATAAAGAAACTTAAAAAATGTATCTTCTTAATATAATATATTAAAATTAGTTTTTTTAATTAAGTTTAATAAAAAATTTATCTCTTATTATGATGAAGGAAATAATTAAACTTGTTAAGTAAAATTTTAAAATAAAATGTATTTTAATGTCTAAAGAATTATTTTTTTCTAAGCAAATTATATTTTTTTTACCAAGTATTTCAATAGTAAACTTGGCTTTTTCTATACATTTTCTAAATTTATTAATTATAAAAAGTATTAATTAAAAATTAATATATATTATAAGATGTATAATAAACTTACTTGTAAAATTCATATTTATCATATGTAGCATTAATATGTATATTTCAATTAGTTACTTTTTAATCTTATTCCTTTACAGTTTAATTATTAGTATTAAATCATATAGTTTTACATAAAAGCATAAGTCACTTCATTAAAAGTTACATAATTTTTTCAAACTTAACAAAAAATAAACTGATAATTAATTTTTTAATATATTGTTAAATTACTACTTTTCAATCAAATTTAAGATTTTTACTTTATTTTAATATATAAAATATAAACTTTAATTAGTTAAATTTTATTAAATATTAACATACAGTCAGGGATCCTGTAAAAATTCTTTCAACTTTATTTTTTGATTTATTTAAAATTTTAGTTTATAATTTTAGCCAAAATTAAAAAAAAAATTTTATTTTTGCAATTAAAATATAAAATATTAAGCATCTGAAGAGAATTTTGACTCAGATTTTCTCTATCTTCAAAATATTATTCTATAAAAAATTATGATTTCATAAAATTTCTGATTTTTCAAAAATTTTTACGGGTTCCTGATCCCATCTTACCTTGCATATTTTTATATAAATAAGCAAGCCAAAAGTTCTTACTTGAAAAGAACCTTTATTATAAACTTTTTTTCAAGCACGTCACTTGCTTGTAATTAATTTTTTTTAAAAAAAATGACGTTGATAAATAAGAAATAACAAAATAAATAAGCAGTGAATGAAGGAAAAATGGGCAATGACTAAAGATTTTGAGTAAAAGAGCTAGATGAAGAAGATAAGGAAAAAAAGGCAAGACTGGAAAAAAAAGAAGAGAGGTTAGAAAAAAACGAAAGATAAGTGGGAAAATGTAGTAGCAGAAGGTTAAGAAACATTGTGAAGTCAAAGCAAAAGGTAATGAATAAATTAATTGAGATTTGGGCAGAAAACGAAAACTTGAAGAGATTCAAAGTAAGTTATTTATTTACAAATCTGTTGTTAATTACATTATTATATGTTTTATTAAAAAGCATACTTATAGATTTATTCATTTTCCTAATAAGGTTCTTCTGATTTACTTAAGAGTTAATTGAATATAATTAAAGATGTTGCATCTAGTGTTGGCCAACTGGACCAAATTGGACTAACTGGACTTATAAAACTGAACCATTAGACTTATAATTCCAGTAACTGAACTTATAAAGGTGGCCAATACTAGCTATGACAAATGATGAAATGTACAATGTAGTTGCATATAAATTATGCTGAATATCAGATATGCATTAAGACTACTTTATACAAGCGAAATGTTTATTAATAGATAATAGTTTATTGTGATAGACGTTATTGAGGGAGAATTATATGTAATGTCAAAATAGAATTTATTTACTTATGATGTTTGAATAATTTGAATTTGATTGTTGCGAAAAACATCAAATTATCTACTCACGCTATGATTAGCTAGTATACTTATTTGTCACAAACCAAAGTGTGATGAATAAACCTAACCCATTGAAAACAATCCTAACTCTAACCCTAACTAATCTCCAGCTAATTATAGCATAATAAGTGAATGCTATTATAATTGTTTTATTAGATAAATCTCATAATTTACACTTATTGAATGAATGAATAATAGTTATGAAATTCCTTAAAGAAACAATTAGTTTGGGAAAAAGTGTACTCGTAGCTTTTATTAGTTTGAAGTTGCTGGATACTGATAAATTATAAAAAATTTTATATAGCCCAATTGGTGTTGAAAATGGTAGAGGTTCAAATCAGTTTAAAATCTTTAACTGGTTAATCACTAGTTAAAATATTTGTTAACTAGTTAGTTAACTGATTAATTAACTAGTTTCAATCTCTAGATGATAGTATGATTCTTGATAAAAAACATGATAATATATGACTTGAAGAGTTAAAAAAATATAATTTTTTTTGAAATAATATAAATTAAAATATATTAAGCAATAATATAATACAAAATAATTTTAACACAGAATTTTCAGTTAATATTATTAAATATAAACATTTTTTTTAATTAAATAATCAAATAAAGATATTTTAGATCAATAATATTTTAAATTAATGTTTTTTTATTTTATCAATTATATTTGCAAATATTCTTTTGACTATATATAGGCTTCAATTAATATGATTTTAAATATATAATACAGAATTTACTAAATTTTTAATAAATATGATGTTTTATAATATAGATAATAACAATAGAATTCTTTTAATAAAAAAACAGATGATCTTATAAATAATTATTAATTATGATTAATAACTTCACATTATAAATACAATTTCTTCTGAACAAATAACTGAAACTCATTTCAAAATCATATGATTAAAAATGGGTTTTTATAAAAAAATTTAAAGAATAATATAAAATTCAAGATCATCAATATTATTAAAACTTTATATTAAATCTATTTTCTATATAATTTCAAATGATACTATAAATAAACTAAAAAATTGATTTAATTACTTTAAATAATTTTATTACTTCAACAATTTTAATAATCATTATCTTAT